GTCTCCCACTTCCTTTCATTTGTCTCCCACTTCTTTTTATTAGTCATTTGTCTCCCACTTCTTTTCATTTGTTTCCCAGGCTGGGTGCTTGTGGTCGGGTTCCCGGCTGGCTTGTCTCCCACTTCCTTTCATTTGTCTCCCACTTCTTTTTATTAGTCATGTGTCTCCCACTTCTTTTCATTTGTCTCCCAGGCTGGGTGCTTGTGGTCCGGTTCCCGGCTGGCTTGTCTCCCACTTCCTTGCATTTGTCTCCCATTTCCTTTTATTTGTCTCCTAGGCTGGGTGCCTGGGTTTCCAGCCGGCTTGTCTCCCACTTCCTTGCATTTGTCTCCCACTTTTTCCCCCAACTGTTTACTGTTATAGGGGTTCTCAATTCTTTCTTAAGATGTGTCCGCCCTTTGTGTCAGGTGTCCGCCCATTTCCACTGGCCATGTAGCATTTCTAGTGTCCGCCCTTTTCCGCTGGCCATGCAGCATTTCTATTCATGTGTCTCCCAGGTCTGTCACACTGGTGGTGTCCGCCCTTTTCTGCAGGTCGTGCAGCATTTCTATTCATTTGTCTCCCAGGTCTGTCACTGCTGGTGTCCGCCCTTTTTCACTGGCAATGCGACATCTATATTCATTTGTCTCCCAGGTCTGTCACTGGTGGTGTCCGCCCTTTTCCGTTACCCATGTAGCATTTCTATTCATTTCTCTTCCAGTTCTGTCGCTGCTGGTGTCCAGCATTTCTATTAGGTCTGTCAGTGGCGTTGTTGTCCGCCCTTTTCCGTTGGCCATGCAACATTTCTATTCATTTGTCTCCCAGGTCTGTCACTGCTAGTGTCCGCCCTTTGCCGCTGGCCATGCAGCATTTCTATTCATCTCCCAGGTCTGTGTCCCCCCTTGTCCGCCCTTTTCCACTGGCCATGTAGCATTTCTATTCTTTTGTTTCCCAGGTCTGTCACTGTTGTGTCCTTGTCTATTGGCCATGAAGCATTTCTATTCATTTGTCTCCCAGGTCCGTCACTGCTGGTGCCATGTAGCATTTCTATTCATTTGTCTTTCAGGTCTGTCACTGGTGGTGTCCGCCCTTGTCGGGCCATGAAGCATTTCTATTCATTTGTTTCCCAGGTCCGTTACTGCTGGTGTCCGCCCTTTTCCGTTGGCCATGTAGCATTTCTATTCCTTTGTCTCCCAGGTGTGTCACTGCTGGTGTCCGCCCTTTTCCCCAGGCAATGCAGCATTTCTATTCATTTGTCTCCCAGGTCTGTCACTGCTGGTGTCCGCCCTTTTCCGTCGGCCATGCAGCATTTCTATTCATTAGTCTCCCAAGTCTGTCACTGTTGGTGTCCGCCCTTTTCCGCTGGCGATGTAACATTTCTATTCATTTGTTTTCCAGGTCTGTCACTGCTGGTGTCCGCCCTTTTCCGCTGGCCATGCAGCATTTCTATTCATTTGTTTCCCGGGTCTGTCACTGGTGGTGCCGCCCTTTTCTGCTGGCCATCTTTTTGTCTTTCAGGTTTGGTGCCTGCACTGCTGTTTTCTGCCCTGTCCGCTGGAACAGGTTCACCTGTGAAAGGTTCTTGCTCCTTTGAAAGGGGTGCGTGACTGTCTCCGGGATTGCATTCCTGCCACACTGTGTAACTCTCTCAGCTTTGTTTTCCTTTCGGGCAAGCGTTGGATGAATGACCGGATTGGACTTCGGCGGCGTGGCAGCGATCTCTCTGTTCAGTTGGGACGGAGGGCATACGCCAGGCACCAAAAATCAACTTCATGTCACATCCTTCGCTCCTCATGCTTTTAATTCTTGTGGTCAGCTCCCCGCTGATTGAGCAGCATGACCAGCATCATGTTCGCACTTGAAGAATAATTCTCCAAAAGGTTTTCTGTTGGGGTTTCTCAATTCTTTCTTAAGATGTGTCCGCCCGCTCTGTACTGCTGTGTCCGTCTCTGCCTTGCAATCCTTTACATTTGTCTCCCAGCTCTGGGCTGCCGCCTCTGCCTTGCAATCCTCTGTCTCCCAGCTCTGGACGTCGCAAGCTCTAGTTTCGATCTGTTTGGGGTCTACGGTGGTGTAATTTGTTTGTTTCTGTTGCATGCTCCAAGGAGTGCACGGACCGCATGCGCGGTGGCTTTTCTCGGAACATCATGAGGCACCACTGTGGTGCCTTGGTAACGAGAAAGTGGTGAAATGGACTGGGGCAGGACGGGATCTCTTGGTGAAGAAGCCTATTCTTCTCTCGCAAGGTGCCCTCCCCAAAGTCTGTTTCAGTGCGTTCCAGCGCCAGAGGCAGGTATCCCCTGGTATCTGGTCCGTATCCCTCTGCCACATGCATGAGAATTCCTTGGTGGAGCCATTCGCAGTGTGCAGCATGTATAGCTAAGCCTTTGATGACCACCTTCAGCGGCACAAGCTGCGGAGAGTGCAAGGCAACAGGTTCTAGTATGTGAGCTACACTCGAAGTTCTGATTCCCTAGCAAGTCGAGGGAAGGCCCTTCAAGAGTATATACATCAACAGAAATGATGAACGCACTTGTAACTTGATAATTCTCTTCATTCTTCAGGAAGAAACAGTGGAGAGAGGTGTTCAATTGGTCGCGGTTGCTGTTCGGTTCATGGGTTGCCCTGGCAGCGTTTTGCGGACCTGCCCTCTTTCGCACGACTCCACCCGATCCGGGCGATTCCGCCATGCGACCGAGTCACTGGCCGCGCCGAAGCAGGTGCAGACTTGACGAGCTTTAGCAGTGATGTGACCGAGTCGGCCGTGGCCTGTGAGGCTGTGAAGCTGAGGGTTGAGGGGGGGAAGGAACCCCCATACATTCCACACCTTCAATGACCACATTGTTTTGAACGCCAAAACTCCAAGCGGAGAGGATGACTGCTGAGAGATGAGTTCCTTTGTGTACACCTGCATGCATTCGAAATGTATGGAAGCAAATGTACCAAATCTACGATCAACCTGTTTGGCATTGTTTGGCCGGACTCTGGCATTCAATGCGGCCCAGAACCCCATGTTGCCCACCGGCGCAGCCAGGCTGCTTCCACACCCTTCTTGCACAGGGCGTTAGCAAACAAGATGTGCCGTGGCGTCGTGAGCGCGGTGGAGCGCGGTGTCGTGAGAGCGGCGTGCGAACCGTGTTTTTTTCTAGAGTTTCTTCTGACATGTTGGTGACATGGATATCGAATATGATGAAATTCATTATGATTCTGCAAGGACTTTGGGCTTTGAACTGCAATGAAGCAGACAAAACATTATGGAGTTTGGGCGCAGCAACACTCACATTTGCTTGTTTGATCGGCAGGGATTTCTTGGGACACCACCAGCCATTTGAAGGGTCTACTGTTTGCCTCCACTTGGCCCCAGGAAGCGAGACTCTGAGACGGACTCTGTGCGATTTTGGGGTGTGAGGGGATGTGGAGGAGGACTCTGGTGGGATGTGGATGGATTTCAATGTGTTTTGACACCCAGGTTCTATCAATGTGGTGACGCCTGTGTGTATGACTTCGAGCAGCCGGAGAAGATCGAGTTCGTCTATAACGAGGAGAAGAAATGCTATGCTGAGAAGCGCCACTTGGATGGCGGATGAACTCCACAGAAGTGGAAGAGATGTTATCAAGGCACAGATTCTCCGAGTACAAACCTCTTTGTTCTCCCTCATTATCACCGACCATGAACTTCTGCCCAACATCTTGAAGTCTTTTTCGCTCTTTCCGTCTACAAGACGATGAACTTTGTCTCCCACACATTTTCTCCACAGAGATGATGTACTTGATTCATTCAGCAATTCAAGTTTCATGACATGGGGAAGGTGACACAGATTGACCAGTGGAATCATCTCACGGTCTCACGGTTGATCTTGGATAAACACGCAGCCTGCACTTCTCTTTCTTGGAGAACTTGCCACACATCCAAAATATTTCTTCGAGTCTTTGTTGTGCACAGAAGTAGTTGAACACGGAAGACTGCCCTGATCAAAGCGTATCAGAGCAGGGTGGCTGAAGCATCATTGAACTCTCCTGATTTTGGTCAACACATGTCAGCACCTAATCGTAGGTTGACGCTTTACACAGTAAGCTGTGCAATTGTTGCCAGGTTGGAGGCCGCCATCACTTCTAGGTTGGAGGCCATAGCTAGTAGATTGGAGGCCATCGCTAGTAACCCCTAGTAGGCTGGAGATAATTGCTATTAGGTTGGAAGCCATCCCTTCTAGGTTGGAGGCCATCGCTATTGGGTTGGAGGCCATCGCTAGTAGGTTGGAGGCCATTGCTAGTAGGTTGCAGGCCATTGCTATTAGGTTGGAAGCCATCGCTAGTAGGTTGGAGGCCATCGCTAGTAGGTTGGAGGCCGTCGCTAGTAGGTTGGAAGCCATCGTTAGTAGGTTGGAGGCCATCACTATTCGACACAAAGAAATATTACACACATGAATGTACTGGTAAGACCAATGAAGTTAAAGGGGATTTGGGTTTCTTTCTTTTTGTTTGTCTCCACCATAGTATGCTCTTGGGCTCAGGAAATGGCGGATGCTCTGCGCAAGATCCAGTAGCTGTCGAGAATGTCAAGCAACTTGGTGATCAAGGTATGTGACGGTATGTCTGATTTTTTCAAAGAAGTGAACACTTGGCTGTCTCTACTTGCCAAATCTATGATTTCCAGTCTCATTTAAGACAAGAGGGCCAAATCCTTACGCCGGTACTGCGAACTTGGTATTGTCACCCACCTCTGGTGTGCTGAACATGTTGCACATCCCAGCCACTCTTTCTCTACGTGGGAGTTGTTGTTTGTCTATGTGCTTGAATGCCTTTTTGCAGGGAAGATTCTGATTCTTCAGCACTCTGCGAACATCCGCTTGGATGCAGGGCTATGACAAGTTTCCACTCTCTAGCCCATCTTGGATCCTCAACATATGGGTGTGTAGTAAAGTTCGACCGCCCGGAAGGAAGAAAATAGACCAAACCCCATTGGACCAGGGGGTCGCCCAAATAAAAAGGCACCCGCATTGTCTGTCTCCGGCACCACTGGTGACCCAGGCAGCACAAGAGCCAACTCTGCGAGGTGCGGGTCGTGCGCTGGTCATTTCGATGGTGAACTGAGTCATGCGGGCTGCTGAACCATTGGGCGAAGATGTTCCAGCCTGTGGAGAGTCGCGTCTCTTCAGAACCTTCACAGATTTATTAGTTATGGTTATTACTTGCTACTGTAATTACTATTGGCTACTTCAAGTTTTGAATGGACACTTTTTAGTGCTTGTGCTTGATTTATATAAGAGCCAGAGACGATTGGATGATGAGAAGTGGATCCAGTTAGCAGCCTAGCAACTCTCGGACTCCCAGGTTTTCACCCCTTGTCGGCCTAAGCCAAGCCATGATCTTATGGACGTGGATGAAACTTGGGAAAGCTTCTACCTGATGTCTGATCCGATTGGATCTGTTTCTGCACCAACCTCTCTCCCACAGACGCCTTCAGGCGGAGCTTTGCCATCCCTTTATTCCCGACCTCACGGAGAATATCATGCTCCGCTACTGACCGGTGCTCAGATGGGGGTTCCAGAACCAAGCAATGACCAGCGTCCCCAACCAATCTGCAAGCAACTAGTGAAAGCTGTGCAGAGCAAGAACAGCACGTTTGATGCATGAGATTCGTGTTCCCCTGAAGCTTTAAGTGGAACCTCATTCATGTTCCCTTGTTTGTTGAGTCAGTCGTGTGTCAGCCCAATGCTGAAATTGCAGCAAGCCACACAATTATACCCATAGAAAATCACAGAGAAATAATCTAAAATTCAGGAATGAATTCAGGGCCTGAACTTCGAGCGAACGAAGCAGCCTGACGGATTTTGGGAGATTTTTCCGCTCGGAACATCGATCAACGCCACCAAGCCATGGGATCTGGGATGGTTTGGTGAAACTGCGGAAGTATGATGTGTTGCAGAGGGAAGTGACTCCCCAACATGTGGAACCTGCAATCCAAGTCAATCCAAGTCACCCCGATGGACATCGGCTCCGCTCGGCTCAGCCATGAGCTATGATTCTTGATCTTCAGATACCATCCTTGTGATGATTCTCATCCAACACCCAGGTAGATTCAAACAATACCAAGCTCTCGTGGCGCAGTCAGATCTTCGTGTGCTTTGAAGCTTCACAGGTGGCGAGGCGGGGGCCAATGGACAGGATCATTCTCCTGACGCCAAAGGCTGCGAGGAAGTGGCGGGCGGGGCACTGGGCGGGAGGGTCCGGTTCAGAGATGGCATCGAAGGAACAAAGGAGGTCATGTTAATACGTGATTTGCTACTAAAATAAGCAAAGGTAATCTATCTATCTATCTATCTATCTATCTATAGACAAGATAGGCACCGTCAAAATAGATGTTGCAATTGCCATAGTGACAATTCATTTTTGCCTATTTGCTCACACTTCTCACACGTTGGGCCACCGGCAAGGAGACTTACACCGCGAAGGTGCAAACAGCACTGGCCAACCACATGTGAGCCGCTGGGAAACGGGGGCGGCAAACGGGGTGCGAGGCGGTGTACGGCGATCGTGCGGCACCCATCCAGTGGTCGTTCTTCTTCGGTGTACGGGGGACGAATGAGCTAGTGGGTCGCGCGAGTTCGCAGCTTGTCGTGTAGGGCAAAGCTGAGGATTTGGTAGGCATCCAGGTTCGCCAGTTTTTTGGACATTTAGCACAGCAGGAGGAGACAGTACTCAAAGTGCAAGTCTGCTGAGTTGGATTCCAACAAAAATACAAAAGGGCTTGGCTTTGGAGAAGCAGACTGGATCACCGCTGGTTGGTAAACATACGGACAAGCTCACAATGCTAATCCTGGGCTGCAGCCTTGCTTGGGAAATGGTTCCCCCAACAGCGATCCATCCGATCCATCATGAAGCCCTGGCACCACCGGTGATAGCCTTTGACTGGTGGAAGATCGCCAGGTTCAAACACTGTGGTGCTTGGTGCCTCTTTGACTACGATGAGCCAGACAAGGTCTCCTACGCATGGGACGACAAGCAGCAGTGCTGGAAGCAAGGAGGCGGGCGGATCAGAGCTGTTTGGAAGCTCTGTGGCTGGATCATATGGAAAGCATGACGCCCTTCCCAGACAGTATAGACTTGCAACAATAATTCCATATGAGTCATATGAGCCTTCTTACAGCTCAGTCTTGTGGAAGCTGAACAAAACAACTCCTGGCCCTTTTTGTGTTGTTGCCAGTCTTTACACGTTTCGTTTGCTTTGAAAAGATGTGGATTCCTTCCGGTCATGTGTGGACCGCATGTTGATCAATATGACACAATGTCCAGACCAACCTTGCAAAAAGCTCATTTGGAATCATGCCTAGTAACAAGGGCATTACTACCTAATCGCAAGAAGCTACTAGTAGCAGGGGCATTGCTACTAGTAGCTTCTAGTTACTAGTAGCTAGTTAGCTCCCAAGGAGACATCAGTTGTTCTTTCTCTACAGTCGCTTGCGAAGCCCACAGGTTGTGTTGGCCATCCAGAGCAGCAGTATGCGGTGGAACGCCGCAACAAAGCCTGTGAGGCCTTGATGAGCTGGAAGGAATTGTTTTTGGGGTTGGCTTGACATGTCTTCCATCTGCCAAAAGGTTGCTTTCCTCTGGATTTTTTCCCCAAACAGTGTGGACACACTAGGGGTTCTTACGGTGAGGGAAAAGCAGCTGATGCTTAGATCGCTGAAGCGCGCGGGCGTGGACGGCTAATTCGCTGCTATTTACAGTACGTTCATACCTCTCGCGATCGTCCACATGCATTTCGACTGCGCAAGCTCGCGAAATCTGGGTGGCCGCGGCGGGTGCTTCTAGCGACTGCTCTCTCGTTGTGGTGCCGTGACAGGGTGGTCACTTTTCGTGGCAGGCGCAAGGGAAACCTCGTGTTTTGTGGTGGTCCAAAGTCGACTTTTCGTGAGAGGTGGAAGGGACCGGAGCGGTTTTACTTCGAAGTGCAGATTTCGTGGCAGGTGCAGCACTTTGGACATGGTGGTGATCGTCGAGGCACTCTGCTTTTGTGACAGGTGCAGTGAACCATGACTTTTGGACATGTGGCTCGTTTGCAGACTTCGTGGCAGGCACAGCACTTTGTGAACCTCGACGTGCAGATTTCGTGGCAGGCGCAGCACTTTGTGAACCTCGAAGTGCAGATTTCATGGCAGGCACAGCAGATGGTGAACCTCGAAGTGCAGATTTCGTGGCAGGCACAGCACTTTGTCAACCTCGAGGTGGAGATTTCGTGGCAGGCACAGCACTTGGTGAACCTCGAAGTGCAGATTTCTAGTACTTTGGGAACCTCGAAGTGCAGAATTCTGCGCAGGCGCAGCACTTTGCGCGCTCAGATGCTCACTCTCTCACTCTCACTCTCACTCTCACTCTCACTCACACATTCACACTCACACTCACTCACTTTCCCACTCTCACTCACACTCACGCTCACTCTCACCCACCTTCACTCTCACTCACACCCACCTTCACTCTCACTCACACTCACTCTCACTCTCACTCACACTCGCACTCACGCTCACACTCATATTCACACTCACTCACTCTCCCACCCTCACTCACTCACACCACCACCGCCACCGTCACCACGATCCCCACCTTCATCACCACCATCATCATCATCTCTCTGGACCCCAATGCGTCTAGATCTCTAGACTTTCTGCTTATAGACCTCACACACACACACTGTTTGGGGTCTCTTGCCGGGACAATTTTACTGAAGAACATGATTTTAGTATGTAATATATATATATATATGTATATTTGGATCGTTTTAGTGTGGAGAAGCGTGTCCCGTTTTGCATGAGTGTTGCAGATGGGGTAACGGCCTATTTTGGAGCACAACAACATACAGCAGTCTCTCGGTTTCTCAGCATTTCTCATTAGCAAATGAGCTGTAATTTGTGATTGACTTGGTATTGCGACCAATGACCAATGTTTGTGCGCAAAAGATGCTGACTATTGGAACAGTAGAAGTGCAGTCACTGCCAGGCTTGTTGATATGAATCTTATCCTTCCCCTCACGAGACTTGTAGTTGGCGCAACCTGTGACTGTGAAAGCTGTGAAATCAAATCTTTCAAGTTCTTTAAATTAAAAGGATCTCCCGGATCTCCCAACCCTTTTTGGTGGCCGGGTGTACGCCCTGTTGCAGTACACCACCACAACCACCACAATGACTACAACCAGTACATCAACGACGACCACAAGCACAATCACCGCTGGGGCCACAGTCTGAAGGAGCGTTGCCGAGTCTACAGCAGATTAGGTAAATGAAACTGACTCCGCCGAAGGGGTGGGGGTCAGTCTGTGTTTAAGAGTCTATAGCCCAAGTGTCAGAGCCGTTTTCTAGTTCATGCAAGCATCCTGGGGCAAACCTTAGGCTGGTTGCGGAATGGAGCTATTTGAAGGCTTCTTCTCCACAATACAAGGGGTTGAAAGTTCTCCAGTTGGAGGATGTGATGTAGCCTTCAGCAGTTGGAGAGTCCAAGAATGGAGCTTCGTCCCTGCGATTGTTGGTCCAATCCTCTCTCTCCGATGGCCTCCAACCACACAGTGATGGCCTCCAATCTAATCGCGATGTTGCTCTTCCGTGGTGCTTGCAACTGCCAAGTCCACCAGCACCACCACCACCAGCACCAGTACAGTGACTTCCACCAGCACAACCACCACCTCCACGGTGGGGGCGCTCAGCGCAGCTGTGCGCAGCTGTTAGCGTTGGAGAGACGAGTCGCTGTGCGCACGAGACGGGTCACTCAGCTATCTATGTGCCTTATTCTTCTAAGGTTGTATTCGAAGATGTATCCATAAAGCTATCAGAGGTTCCATTTGCAAGTGTCCCTTACTTTAAAGGGAATTGTTCTGGAAAGAGATAGTTTTATATAGTTTCTCACTTTCTGGTCTTTCAAACACTTTGAACATCCTCGACACACTCGTGAAACTAACGTTTCTTGAGTGGTTTTGACCTCGTTGCAGCATCCAATGAATGTGCAAAGGCCGTCTGACCGGAACGGGAGGAACCGGAGGAACGGCCCCATGGCACTCCGTCTCGGCCCCATTGCTCTTGCCGTGATGTTGAGTGATCCCACTCCGCTCTCAAATCGATCCATGTCCCCAAATCAAGGCTCGATGAACTCCCAAACCACCCCAATTCTGGTCCAATCCTCCCCGGAAGTGATGCGGAAATTGGAGTCTTGCCTTCAGGCGCCGCCGCGACGCACCAGGTGACTAGCACCAGTACCACGACCACCAGTACCATCACTTCCACCAGTACTACGACCACCTCAACGGACTGGATCTCAAAAACGCTTCGAAACCGGTCCACCGTCCCGGTCCGAAACCGGGCTCGGAGTGGGCAGGTGTCGTTTGGTGCGAACGGTCAGGGAGTGACAAAGCTACTGTGAAGTGACCTAGTAGCTTCTTGCTCCTAGTAGTATGGCCCTTTGCTCCTAGTAG